ATAACAAAGTGAAGAGAGGACAGTGGTACATTAAGATATAATTAATCAAACTTTAGTACACTGACTGGTTTTATCTGTCCTGATCAATGCAGTTTTTGGTATCATACATTATCCACAACAATAAAAGTAATCATTTTCTGATAATAAGGCCAAAAGTGTGTCAATGAAAAGCTGATTATTTCAAGGCAGGCCATCCAAAAATAAGCACAAAGACTTAAAGAAAAAAGACAAAGAATAATGAGGTTGTGTACATTGAATCATCCATGTTATACAGGTCATTCCTTTTTTTGGGAAGTTTAAGAAACCCCAAATAATATATTAATGTGTAAGTGGGAAATGCATCGATGTCTGAATCAAATTTAAAGACAACCCATTCATTTGTTGTTGAGATTTTGCACTCAAACCCACCAATGCTAATCCCATGATGGAGCAACAACAAAGTGTTCAAGCCGACCAACAGACAGTTCCTTCCCCAAAGCCACACTGCTAGCCTGGCTTAAAACAGACATATATTTGTTGTATAATTTAAACAGCCTGTCCTCCTACGAAAAACGACCAAATAGGTTGATTGTTCAGCAGCTTATTACGACCCATAGTCACGTTTTAAAGTGTAGCACCTCTAGTGGTCGTGTAAGAAACAACATGCTCCCGTTGATTGTAAATGCTCCGGAGGGTCGTTTATTCACAAATAACCCTCTCTGGAAAATCCTAAATTGTGGAATAAATAGGCCATTAAAATGCTTTTTGATTAGATTTCTAGCGAGAAGTGTATATTGTACTTTTAAAATCTACGTCCAGTGGATGTGTAGGATCTATAGTTTGATAGATATTACGAAGATGATTTGAGGTCTCGCCAGGAGAACGTGTACTAAGTCTTTACGCAGCGTCCATGTGAAGTTGGCGTCAACCCTCACGGGGTGAAAACAGTATTTCCGGTCTAGAAGTTTTCATAATAAAACCGGAAGTATTCCCCTCACTGTCAAATGATTACACAATGATATCTGCATTACTCATCCACTAAAAAACATCAGTTTATCCTTGTTAATTACACAATATTGATTGGTTTAAATTGTGTACAATGCTTTTGTGTTTTTAACCTTCGACTCGGAGAAACAAATAGTTTTTTCGGAGTTTAGACACTACAGAGTTTCCGAAGACACTACACTACCCAGAATCCTCAGCTATCGTTTGGGACTACAACATCCGCTTTCCTTTAACCTGTTAAGCCCTGAGCCTGTTTTTCAGGTCTCAGGCTCGAAAATGACATTCCCAGAACAAATGACCATATCTTCCCTTCTAAAAGGGTTAAATTAATAATCTTTTTTCTCAAAGTAATGATAAACCTGTGAGTTGGATGTAGAAAAGTCAGAATCAATATAGATGTTTTTTATTTTAAAGAGAATTCAGATTTTACATAGTAAAAAACTGTAAATTATAGTGTCCGTCCAAAAAATCTTTTTTACTTATAGTGAAAACTACCCTTGGATGGGTTAGTAGACTAAAAGCTTTAGGAATCCAAAGTACAACATATAATAAGTACCCTGTATCAAGATTGATGCAAAACAAGTGACATTTAACCTTTCTAGAGAGGTTTAGCCAAAAACACTCCACCTCTGAGGTGATTTGGGTGTAAATGTTTTTTTTTTCATATCTCTGGAACCCATTGGTCGATTTTGATGGTTGACACCTCTTTCTGACCGTTAGAGCCAATAGAATCGAAGGGGGAGTCCCCCACACACACTCATAAAGGTGGGGGCTTTGCGCATGTAATTTTGCATTAGAGTGAAGCTACATTCTAGCTCTGACATCTAGAAACGGAATAGCATGGGTTATCCGTTTTATTGGTCATGGATTATCAGAAATCATTTCAAAGGGACACAGACACATTGGATTAACCTATGGATTAACTTCAGCAGCGTTTTTATCGTTTTAATGCCATTGAAGACCACTTTGGAGACTACAGAGCCAAGGTAATCTTGTTAGCATTTTTAGCTACCTAGCGTCACCTGTTTTGATGTCTGTTTTTGTTTATAACGTCGCAAATTCGTATAATTCAGTGATAATGAGGGTACCCATCGATTCTGTGTCACCTCACGATGTGAATAGATGTCATGGATGTGGAGAAAAGATAAATAATAGGGTTTTGTGAGTGATTTTCGGTGCAGTAATCTGTTAGCATTTTTCGCTCGTTGCTAATTCAGAGGCTCAGTGTTAGCATTGTGGGTTTTCTTTTGAAAAAAAAAAAGAAATTATCAGTTAGATGAGTTTCTTCCCGTTACATGGATATAAAACATTCATAGTTTATTAAATGAACATGCCCTCAGACACTGTTTCCTGCAAGATGTTGCGGCAGTGCCCCGGTACCGGGGTCTCTCGGGCTTAACAGGTTAAAAACCCCGTGATTAGTCCTCAAGCTCTGTGATTGGATGTTGGAGTGGCAGTGCGACAAGGTTACGCCGAGCGTCAAACAGCTCTTTGAAATGGAATGTAACCACGGCAGACTATCCAAAACTGGAAAAAACAGTGGTCTAGTTAATAAAACATAATATCAAACATAATATTACTATTAACTTTATTGTGAAATTAAAACAGAACGATAAAGAAAAATACAGTTTCAGTCTCTCGATTTGAAGCTTATGCATTGTACCATGAACCTGTATAGACCTGTAACAGTCAACATGAGGAGTTGGAAAGGTAGTTTCTGAAGATGTTACAAATAACACACAGCATACAATGCCATAATAACTTTGTATTATTAGTGTAGGAGACTTATGTATGTATAACATCTGAAGATGTGTAGTTATTCATGTTTTCACATAATTGTACAGGATATTGCTATAATATTTCACATATTGTTTTATAGAACTACAATATGTGAAATATTATAGCTGATGATCATATATATCATATATGATATATATAATGTAATATATCAGATATTAATGTGTATACACATTAATATCTGATTTGTAAAACATCACAGACAGAAAAGGTATATTTAAGCAATAGCTCACGACAGGCCGTGGTATATGCTCATTAGTAGCTCTGCATGTTGTCATTTAGGTGCTTTTTTTTCTGGAGATAGGCACTCCTCAATCCACTCCTCCATAGTAAGACCACCCCGGAGGTCGAAGTTAACCTTAAATGTTTCCATCTTAAGCTTTGTAAGTTTGTTCCGTAATGGACAAAATGTAAATATATTTATAAAACGGACAAGTCAAATCAAGCAATCTGATTGGTCGATAGCGTTTTTGCGGACCTTTTTGATTACAGATTTGAAAACATCGTTGCTTGCTTTTAAAGTAGCACAATTCATTTTGTCAAACCTTGGAAAGTGTATCTAGATATCCCTGCCCTAATGCCAAAGTAACTGGCAACTGAATATGTTTTGCCGTTTGATGTCTATGTTTGGACCGTTGCGTAAAAAGGAGGGTTTCTGCCCAGTTAATTCTCCGCTGCTTTCTTGTCCCACTTTGAAAAGCAAACTGCAATACGGTTTTATTATGAAAACTTCCGGACCGGAAATACTGTTTTCACCCCGTGAGGGTTGACGCTAACTTTACATGGACGCTGCCGTTACACGTTCTCCTGGCGAGACCTCAAATCATCTTCGTAATATCTATCAAACTATAGATCCTACACATCCACTGGACGTTGATTCTGAAAGTACAATATACACTTCTCGCTAGAAATCTAATCAAAAAGCATTTTAATGGCCAAACTATCCTACAATTTAGGATTTTCCAGAGAGGGTTATTTGTGAATATACGACCCTCCGTAGCGTTTGCATTCAACGGGAGCACTAGAGGTCGAAAACTTTAAAACGTGATTATAGGTCGTAATAAGGGCTTGAACAATCGACCTATTTGGTTGTATGAGTTGGTCGCGCATGTAATTTAGCATCAGAGTGAACCTATCTCTAGCTTTGACATCTGGAAACGGAAAAGCAGTTTTAATGCTTATGGATTATCAGAAATCATTTCAAAGGGACACAGACACATTAGATTAACCTATGGATTAACTTCAGCAGCGTTTTTATCGTTTTAATGCCATTGAAGACCACTTTGGAGAGACTACAGAGCCAAGGTAAAAATGTTAGCACCTGTTTTGATGTCCGTTTTTGCTTATAACGTCGCAAATACGTATAATTCAGTGTTAATGTCGGTGTCAATCGATTCTGTGTCACCTCACGATGTGAAATGATGTGTTGGATGTGGTGAAAAGATAAATAATAAGGTTTTGTGAGTGATTTTCGGTGCAGTAAGGTGTTAGCATTTTTCGCTCGTTGCTAATTCAGAGGCTCAGTGTTAGCATTGTGGGTTTTCTTTTGAAAAATAAATAAAAATGATCAGTTAGATGAGTTTCTTCCCGTTACATGGATATAAAACATTCATAGTTTTATTAAATGAACATGCCCTCAGACACTGTTTCCTGCAAGATGTTGCGGCAGTTCCCCGGTACCGGGGTCTCTCGGGCTTAACAGGTTAACAGAACCTGTCTACTGTATTTCCTGGGTTCATCAGCCTTTTCACTAGAAAACTGCTGAGACCAAACCAAACATTAATGGTGCGGCTGTAAAACTAAACCCATGATCTGAAAGAGGATCACTAATCGAAGGTTTTTTCTTTTAAAGGCTCAGCAATCTTTTGGTGGTTTTAAGATAAGACTTTAACCCCCCTTTATCCTCTCCCATCCCATGATCTGTGTCTGATGTTTGAGTGTGTATGAATCATTGTGAAATGTGTTCTGCCCTCTTGTGGCATTATAACATATTGCAGAAACACTGATTATCATTACAGGGGGTTTTACAGGTCACTGCCATGTGAGGAACCCTAACACGGACATATGCCTGAATAAATCAGTGGATGGATAAATGAATCAAGAAATGTGAAATTAATGAATATCAGGATAATGAAAGGTCCAGCCCTGCTGCAACAACACCTTTAACTTTAACATCATCCCTCTTTCATTTCCACATTCACACTTTCTGTGCTCTGCAGCTTTCCATCAGAGACAGTCCTGAGGGAACACAGGAGGCCAACACATGCTAGTCTCTGTGTCAGGACGTAGTGAGGCAGACTGTGACACACTGCAGAACACAGGATAATGGTCGTTCCTGATCCGAGCCGACACCCTACAACAGCTGATGTGCTGTCCAGGCATTGGGTGTCACATCTGAAGCACTTAAAGTCAGAGATAAAGCTGAACTGACCTTTAAAATGCCTTCTACCATTATTTTTTGTTGTTCCTCATAAACATTTAATGATCCCTCAGCTCATGTTTGATTGAAAATGCACAAACCGATAGTCTCTCTGTGAACTCATTGCAATACTACAAGGGTGCGTTCACAGACATACACCCCCTCCCCCCTCAGTACACGTCTCATGGGGGCAGATGATGTTGGTGGTGCCATCCGGTCTCTCCTGGCTCTCTGCACATTCCCACTGCACACTGCACTGTCTTCTAAAAGCCTGTGTGTCTGTGTGTATATTATTTATAAAATAAATAATATAAATAAAAACCTATAAAATAAATAAAACAATAGAAAACTAGAAACATCATAATGATTAAAAGACCATTTATGTCTCACTAATAAAAAGCTACATCTAAAAAGATGTGTATTCAGCAAAAAATATGTGTATTCAGCTATTGTTTAAAAATGTCCGCTTATCTTTTAAGTGGCGATTTAAAGGGCCCTTGTCATGGCCATTTCCACTGATCATAATTACATTGTTGAGGTATACTAAAATAGATTTATACTGTGCAATTTTCCAAACTCACATTGGTTTCGCATACAGCATCTCTGTCAATGTGTATTCAGCAGTATTCACTCTTTCCACTAAACGACTCGTTGGAGCTCTTGCCCCCCCCTCCCTGTGAGCCTAGTGTGCTCCGATTGGTCAGCTCGGCCACTCTGTTCTGATTAGTCAACCACCAGAGAGGCTCCGCCCATGTCTAACAGTGCTTTATCCGGCTGCTCTCAGCGGAACATCAGTCTTATAATGGCGTCGGTACAGCCGTATATTTTATACGCTAACTAACCGAACTGTACCTACAACTGTTGTTATAGAAGAGTGTGACGGCCCCAGGGCCTTTGTCTTACGATGGGGTGGAGCTGAAGAGGCTAATCAGCGCGATCACGGACACCTGGCCGGAGCCGAGGTGCTAGCCAGCTGCCCGGAGTCACACGGGCCCCTCTCTCTCTCCAAAGCAGCTCAGCGATCCTCTCCCCTCGACCACCTATCTCTGCATTTACCACAATAAATGTGCCGTGGTTTTGTAAACTCGTGTATGTCTCCTTGTCTTTCCGTTGTGGCCTACGAGCCGGTCATAACAAAGAGTAAGTTATTTTTACCTGTTATAAACTACTACTGTTTGATGAGAAATCAAATCATGGTTTGCTATATATGAATGATATGTTATAGGAGCAAATAATTCAGGGAAGAAAGGATAGGCCTACTAAGTATTTCCATTAAACTTTATTTTTAGAAATGTACAAAATGAACGTAAATGTCAGTCGATTAAAATATTTAATCGCGATTAATCGCATGATTGTCCATAGTTAATCGCGATTAATCGCAAATTAATCGCACATTTTTTATCTGTTCTAAATGTACCTTAGAGGGATATCTTTCAAGTTTTTAATACTCTTATCAACATATGAGTGGACAAATATGCTTTATATGTTTGTTTACAGATGGAGCCTCTTATTTTGGACTCCAGCATACAGCTTCCTGCCGACTGCCAGCCAGTTGCCAGCCAGTTGCCTGCCAAAGACCAGTATTCAGGAATGTTAGGCCCTCCCACTATTCTCCAATTTCAGGGTTTAACCAGGAGATGGCGCTATATATTAAATAACTAAGACTTAGTTTTTCACAATAGAAAATGCAGATATTATATAAAAAACTAAAGTTAAAATCTTGTTTTTAATGCCCCAAGAGCAATAACATCTTGTCACAAGCTTTTTGGAAGAAAAAGACTGACTCAAGAGACCTGTAGTTGACTAATTACAGGCCTCAATAAAGTTCTGCCATTGGTTGTGAAAAACAACGGTGGACATAGTGGAAAGTGAAATTGACATTGTCGAATTTAATAAAAATACAAAATAATGTATCTGTGTACGTGTTTTACTATGTGATCTGCACTTATCAAACATCTAATTAAGGCGAGACACCCCAGGTGAATAGGGTATTTTTAACTTAAAGATATCAGCTAAATATTTCTCCAGTTAATTACTTACAATAAGGCAATTGTTTTTTGTATTACAAGTTTTCTGAAATAGCATGTTTAAATATCCAAATGAACCATTATCTCATGAAATATGCGCATATTTTAACACATTTCAGGAACCGAAATCTGAACTTTGGATAAAGCCAGGATCAAAATTATTGTTTCATTTTGTAGTCATATTAGTATCTAAGGCTTTTACAGAAGGGATTTTGGATATCTCTTTGTATCACTCCATAAATCAGAAAATACTGTCAACAGCCCTAAAATATCAATTTTCACCATGTTTTTAGGTATAAAATGTTATATAATTCAGGCTATGAATTATATATGACCAAACCCTTCTGTAAAAGCCTTCATAATATTGATAGGAATATAACTGGAAGGTTTGGTGTATGTAACTGCTGAGTGATTCTACAATTTAGGGTACATTCCATGTCCATTGATGTCCATTGATGATAATTATAATTATTCTAACTATTTTCTTCAAAAATATCATATTTTGCCTATTATTGGAAAGCATGTTATAATATCACACAAACATTATGTGCATCCTATGCTTTATTTAGCTTGAAATGTGTCATGATGTTCTTAAATTGTCAGTTTTTGCTATGTCCGTTTTTCAGTTGAGGGTGTCTTGGATTCAAAATAATGAATAAAAACCATTAAAGTAAATTTAAAAAATGATTCATTTATTTCAAAAGTCTAAATACTAAAGAATAATAACATATTTTTAATTGATTTCCCCCTTTAAATAATTTAAATATCTTAATATATGAATGTCCGCAAAAGTTCTGTCAACTATGTTTCTAACAGAACTTCCCCCTTTAACTCAAAAATTGTTTGTCCCAATACCATGTCACCAGCATCACATGATGCCATGTTCCTCTTTGGCAGACATTTTGAACACACTGTGGTGATTGTCCTCTACATTTTTACAATATTTTATGTATAATAGCACATGGTCAATTAATATACTCATTGACAATCAACAATGTTACGTACATTGTTATGGTTTACAATTGTTTAATGATTTTAATTCAATTATATGTGCAAATGTGATGTTAACCTGTTCAAGAAAATGACATGTGGTCATCCAGGCAAGGCCTACCATTGAAATGATGGGTCAAAATAGGGAAATTGTCAACTAGGTTACCTGTCAACTGAGTTACCCAGTACTGTAATAACTGTAGTAACTTAGTTGACAGGTAACCTAGTTGACAATTTGTACGACATGTAGACGTCATTACACATCATTATCAATGGAATTTTGCACTTCTGCCTTGAAATTAACATAGTGCTGATGGTTAATAATGTGTCCAGTCAACTATGTTATTTGCGTCAAATGTTTGACTTTCATTGTCAACTATGTTGCACCTCATTTTTTCAAATTTAAAATATCTAAAATAGTGCTTCTGATATCCTTTATAGTATAATGTATATCTACACAGGTTGGAGTTTTACATGACATCTCTTAAAACTATCAAAATGACCTGTATGGTAGTTTTATAATACAAAATATCCCTAAACTTAATGACAGTGCTGAACATATCACATGAAAAAACAAAACTTTAATACAATTATTTTTTAAACTTTAAAAAATCTTTGGATATATGGTAGAATAGACTCAAGAGCCTTTCAAATTTGATTTTACTTGAAGTGCAGGACTTAATCAAATGATTGTAATGACATCAAGTTTGTCTGTAACATAGTTGACAAACTGAGTAGTGAAAACATCCTTTCCCTTAAAATAAAAAAATATATAAAAATGTTTAAGCTTTGCAACTAGTGGATATGTTACACTGAGGAATATACTAACTTGAACCACTGATTGTTCTATCTATACATTTTATTTGGCATTAGTAAATAATTATGCACATTTACAGATATTTTACATGATATGAGTGATAACACGTGTTATAAGGGCTATTTCGCACAATAGGTGTGCCTTGAGATTTTTACTTGTCCTTTGGTGTGCCTTGGGCACAAAAAGTTTGGGAACCACTGCTGTAGAGAAATGTAAACGTTCACCATCCCCCACCCGCCTACTGTATGTTGCTTTTTGACATGTAAATGAGTAACTACCCCCCTCTGAGTGAATACCTGTTGTACCTGTCCGGGGCTAAGCCCATAGGACGATGCTCTGATGTCATCACCCTCGCACATTGGTCATATGTTTACAAAAAAACGATGTTAACACTTTCTCGTTCTTAATATATGCTATATTTAGGGTCGATATGTGTTGAATTTACTTTAAAATAGCAGATCACTGTGATTCACTTCTCCGCGGCTCCTCCGTGCAGAGAGGCCCCCCCCCGTTGACAATTCACGAGCGTCTAACTCTCTCCCCCCTGTGAAGAGATATCACAGGGGGGGGTTGGGACACACACATTCCGATGGCCAATTCGTTTTAAACAAAGAGTGGGGTGGGGGCTGGTGAACGGTATGGTCAATGTTTGTAAACACTGTGACATTTTGACTTTATTTGATCATTTCAGTTAAAAACTAACGCTCATATTTCATATTACTGTTTTGCCTGGCTGGACCTGTAATTTACAGGAAAGGAGTGCACGCTACTAAAGAGACACGCTACCATGGAAACCAAACAATGGTGTTGCTGTATTGAAGTCCGAGTGGAAACAGTCATATTTGGAGCGTTATGTTAGAATGAAACAGCGAGGTCGTGACTCACAAAAAAAAAGTGTTACTTCACTAACTGTAAGCTTGTCACTCAGAGTAACCTACAGTTAACTTAACTGTTGGAAAAGAAAGATCAGAGTTAGGAGTGTGAACACACAGCTGAGAGCTGCCGTTTCATTCTGACTGTTTAAAAAACGGTAACAACGGA